GCTCCCAATAGAGGTTGAAATTCCTTCCATGAGAGTTTTGATGGAAACTGAATTGGCTGAGGCTGAATGGTGTCAAAGTAGATACGACCAGTTGAATCTGATTGAAGAGAAAAGAATGACGGCTTTGTGTCATGGCCAATTATATCAACAAAGAATGAAGAAAGCATTTGATAAGAAGGTTCGACCCCGTGTGTTCAGAGAAGGCGACCTCGTGCTCAAAAAGATCTCGACTTTTACTACTGATTCTAGGGGCAAGTGGACTCCTAATTATGAAGGCCCATATGTTGTTAAGAGAGCCTTCTCTGGCGGTGCATTAATTCTTACAACTATGGATGGAGAAGAGTTCACTCGTCCTGTGAATGCCGATGCAGTCAAGAAATACTTCGCCTAAAAAAATAAAAGAACAGCTCGCTAAGTTGAAAACCTGAAAGGGCGGCTTAGGCAAAAATGAGCGTCTCGGTGGATTGAAAACCCGAAAGGGCGGTCCAGGCAAAAATTAGAGACAAAACAGAAATAATCATCCCGGTAGATTGAAAACCCGAAAGGGCAATCTAGGCAAAAGTTAGGGATCATGGCAAGTAACTGCATCTGGCCAGTCTTGATCGTTTGAAGCAACATTTCCTATCAAAGGTTTTACTTCAGATATTCTCCGCTGAAGTCTCAAGCACAGTTGGAATTCAAAGTTGTTAGGGAGAATAATGGTCATTGTATTTCAATGTAGAGCTTTCCATTGTACTTACCATTTTTCAAACTTTGTAACGATCCATGGAGTTACGCCATTTGCGGACTACCATTCTATCAATATAATTTGGGCCTTTGTCCCTTTGTTTGCAATTCTTATTTTGTTTCTGTTTACAGAATTTCATTTTATTTTTGATGATGATTTTTGAAACAAATGTGAATAATTGATTTAAATTTTGAAAATTATAAAAACATTTTTCTTTGATTTGTGAAAATAAAAGAAAGAATGTCAACAGTAATCCCAAGATTGGTAGAATCTTGAAGCGAAAAGCGTAAGTGTTCTCTTCAGCAGGGTTCTTTCTTGCCTCTCTGGTAGAATTTATTGGCGGCTCCCCAGTAGAGTTGTGTTGATGTTTCCCCATTTGAGCTATATTGAGGTCTCTTCAGTAGAGTTTGCTGATATTCCCTTAGCAGAGTTTTGTTTCTTTGGATAAACCAGACGAGTGTTGAACGGTTTTCCACAGCAAAGTCTTGATTCAAATGATGGATATGTTTTATTCATTTAACCAGATTATGATTGGGCAGTGGAGAAATTTGAAGACCACTTCTCCTTGATGTTTTTGCCCAGGCAGAGATTTGTCTTTGATGATTCCTAGCGGAGGTTATGCACATTTGCTTTGGATTATTCCCCAAGTAGAAAACAATGTTGAGAAGTGTTGACATAGCAGTCACCTGTCGGGTTTTCACTCACCTTGTGATTGTGTGTTGATTTAAAATCCCCCACAGTTTGACTTTTTACTATGATGTTAACTTCTTATTCCCCTGGCAGGGTTGGAAGATTTGTGTTGCTATGTTTTTCTCCAACAGTTTTTTTTCTCAAAGCGGAGTTCATATTGTTGTTCCCTTTTGTTGAATTATTGATGGTTGAAGATTTTCCGTTGCTGATCCCCAGCACGATCTCCAATGATATCTCTAACTCGCAGAGATTAGCCGAGTATTTTAGTGGTGTTGTGGTGTTTTGTTCACCCTCTGTTTGCCCTTTTTTGTCTGATTTATCAGCATATTCATACTCATTGCATGCGCATTCATTTTGGTTGAGCATAGCATGTCTTTGTTGCATTGTGCATCCTGCATTTTTGTTGGTATTTCCCTTTTCCCGATGTTGTTATCTCGCAGAATGCGTATGTCCTCTATTCATTAGAATGTCGACTCCTAAGCAGAAAATACCTATCATTTTTAATTCCCCACTGAGTTTATGCCTCGTGGAAGATGCTTTGTTTAGCTTTCCTCCCCAGTTTTTTATCTGGATGGAATTGTTCCCCAGTTGAGTTATTTCCTCATTGGGTCGAGTCCTGTTTGACCGTTTCTTTCCAGTTTGTTCCTGGATTGAACTTTGGTCTCTTGCAGCAGTTACTTTAGTTTTCCCTGGGCTGTGGAACCAGGATGACGAGAAGGTATTTTTGAGGATTTATTTTCCTCGGCAGAATCTGTTATTGATCCCCATCAGAAGATGAAGATTTGATTCTCCCAGTAGTGTTTTGATAACACTCTCTTGGTAATTACTTACGCAACTTCATGTGGAAGCCTCTTTATTTGAGCAGCTTGTGTAATCTCCAGAAATTTACCTTCGCAATAAATAACATTTCTCTAGTTCATCCTCAACAGAGAAATTTATTGTGAAATGATGGATCTTTATCCAATCAGCTTTTCTGTCAATTGGAATTTCTGTGGAATAGCTCCCAATGAGAATTCTATTGCATGGTTCAACCTGCTCGTATCTCTTTTAAAGATCCCCGACAGAGTTGTTAATATCTTTTTCCAACAAATGGTTGTCTCTTTATTTGAGAAGTTTGTTGTGTGTTTGGAGCTGCTCAGTAACAAGTAGCTAATGATATATCTTTTTCTCCTACCCAGTAACAGGTAGTCGAGCCCGTCCTACCCAGTACCAGGTAGTTGACATATTGTTTACCCTATCCAGTAACCGATAGTTGGTAACCCTTTTATTCAAGATTATTATTCTCGCTAAACTACTCAGTAACCAGTAGTTGGCGTTGCTTCTTTTCCTACCCAGTAACAGGTAGTTGATTATATTTCAACGAGTGGATTACTTTTTACCCAATAACTGGTAATAGGTAATACATTTCTTTGTTTTCTACCCAGTAACTGGTAGATAACAATTCTCTTGTGTTTTGCACTTATTTTCTACTCAGTAACCAGTAGAGAGTATTTTACCTATTCTCTTCGGTTCGAATATCTTCGCCCAGTAACTGGCAGTTGGTATCTCTTTCCCCACTGAGTCGTTTCCTTTCCCTTATCGGAATAGGATCTTGTTCTTTTGTTTTCTCATGTGGAGTCTCTCTTTTTCTCCCGAGTTTTTGTTTGTTTCCTGTGGCATTATTTCCCCACAGAAGTCTTATGATCGCATATCATTAGCATAATCATATCATTTTGTGGTCTCTTAGGGCTAAAAATTGGGTTAATTGTTATATTTAAGTCTCTTCTATCTAGTCGAGACAAAGATGTCAATCTTCATATCTCCGAATAGAAGAATCTTAAATAGGGGCAGCTGTAATACCCTAATTTTTACCCCTAAGATCCCACATTTCATTTGCATATCATTCCACAAACAAGACCATACTTTTTGATCCCTTGTTGTTTCATACTTGCTTTATGTTTGTTTCTGTTTACTAACATCTAACCAAAATTACCAAAAATATTTTTCAATTTGTTTGTTTCTTCTTCTTCTCTGTATGCTTAGGGTTTTGCAAGGAGATTAATGGCAAGGACATTCATTCGAGTCTAAATCAGATGAAAGTTTGACCTCATCTTGGTCGAACTATCAAGAGTTTGCTTCGACTATAAGTTACCCGTGATTGTAGGCTATTTTCTCAGGCAATGTGACTGTTCAAGGTCAAGTTGTCCTATATCATAATTCATCAAATTTTCAAGCAGTGTTCTATGAGAAGTTTGGTCAGGATTATCACGATCAGGGTTCATCAGTCTAGAGTTTTGTCTGTACAAGTCAAGTTTGGCGGATGTTCGATAAAGATGTTTGTTTTGGGATGCAAGTCCAAAGTGTTTATTCAAGTGTGCAATTTCCAAGTGATTCTAAAGCATGTTTGGAGATTAATCTTTGAGTTTATTCAAGAATTCGATTCAAATTAAATTTGGAAGAGACAAGAGAGGGAATATAAGAGAGGAATATGCTTCCCGTACTGCAATGCTTTATTCGCTTGTTGTTTCGTGGTCTCTCTTGCTGTGTGTAGCATCTGAGTTTTGTCTTGATCCTTATACAAGTGCTCCTGTCAGTCTTCTTGCTGTCGGAGGGAAGTCTGGTGAAATCTCTTTTTGGAGATTTGACCAACCAGATTGTTATACTATTGAGGAGACAAAAGCCCCAACTGCTGTGAAGTTTGCTGGTTTTCTTCAGGCACACAATTCATGGATCACAACAATGAATTGGCTGTTGTTTGCTTTTGATTCTTCAAATCCTCTACTTGTATTAGCTACTGGGAGCTCTGATGGGAGTGTGAAGGTTTGGTTGGAATGACCACTTTGACTCTTCCCTCCTTCAACCCTTTTCCAGGGTAGCATCAACTATAGATGCCGTTTTACTTTCACATCCTGACACACTTCACCTTGGTGCCTTACCCTATGCCATGAAGCAGCTTGGACTCTCTGCTCCTGTTTATTCAACTGAGCCTGTCTATAGAATGGGACTTCTCACTATGTATGACCAGTTCCTCTCAAGAAAGCAAGTATCGGAATTTGATTTGTTTACTCTAGATGATATTGATTCTGCTTTCCAAAGTGTAACAAGGCTAACATACTCTCAGAATCATCACCTCTCTGGCAAGGGAGAGGGAATTGTGATTGCACCACATGTTGCTGGACATCTTTTGGGAGGCACGATATGGAAAATTACAAAGGATGGTGAGGACGTCATATATGCTGTTGATTTCAATCACAGGAAAGAAAGGCATTTGAATGGAACTATTCTAGGTTCCTTTGTGCGGCCAGCTGTTCTAATAACTGATGCTTATAATGCTTTGAACAATCAGCCTTACCGGCGTCAAAAGGACAAAGAATTTGGAGATGTCTTAAAGACGACTCTAAGGGCAGGTGGAAATGTGTTACTACCTGTTGATACCGCTGGACGAATATTAGAACTCGTTCTGATGTTGGAATCGTATTGGGCGGATGAAAACTTGAACTATCCTATATACTTTCTTACATATGTTGCATCCAGCACTATTGATTATGTGAAGAAGTTCTTGAGTGAGTGAGTGAATATTTTTGTAAAAGCCCGTGAGATTCTTATGGCTTCAATTCATACAGTTAAATTCTCACTGTTGTTTGTTCTATGGTTCTGGAACTTCAACTTTCTACCTCTTTCTCAAGGTAAAGATGATTACCCTTATATAAAAAAAGCGAGTTCATTTTCATCTCCATCAATTTCTGATACATCATTGAACAAAGCTTATGATTATATAGTAGTTGGAGGTGGAGGTGCAGGGTGTCCTTTAGCAGCAACACTTTCACAGAATTTCAGTGTGTTGTTGCTTGAAAGAGGTGGTGTACCATTCACTAATCCAAATGTAACATTTCTTGAGAATTTTCATATTACCTTGGCAGATCTTTCATCAACTTCAGCTTCTCAGTACTTTGTTTCAACTGATGGAGTTTTTAATGCAAGAGGAAGAGTCTTAGATGGTGGCACTTCTATTAATGCTGGCTTCTATACTAGAGCTAGCTCAAGGTTTATAAGTAAGGTAGGGTGGGATGCAAAGCTAGTAAATGAGTCATACCCTTGGGTTGAGAAGCAGATTGTTCATCGTCCAAAGTTTTCGCCTTTTCAAAGAGCAGTGAGGGACAGCCTTATAGACACTGGAGTCTCTCCTTTTAATGGCTTCACTTATGATCATATTTATGGAACAAAAGTTGGTGGAACCATTTTCGACAGATTCGGTCGTCGTCACACAGCTGCTGAACTTCTCGCTTCTGGAAACCCTGACAAACTTACCGTTTTGGTCCATGCCACTGTCCAAAAGATTGTTTTTGATACAACAGGTAAAAGACCAAAAGCTGTAGGTGTTATTTTCAATGATGAAAATGGGAAACAACATGAGGCAATGTTAGGAAATGGTATGCGAAGTGAAGTGATATTGTCTAGTGGAGTAATTGGTTCACCTCAAATGCTATTGCTAAGTGGAATTGGGCCAAAAGCTGAGCTCGAAAACTTGAACATCTCGGTGGTTCTTGACAACCGTTTTGTTGGAAAGGGAATGATAGATAATCCAATGAATGCACTTTATGTTCCTTCTAAGAGGCCAGTTTGGCACGCTAGCTCGGATGCTTCAGGCTGATCCACCTCCAAAAGCTGTCAAAGTCACTGTGTCCGAACGGGTTCCTTTGGTTGGCGAGGAGCTAATTGCATATGAGGAAGAGCAAAACCGAATAAAGAAAGAAGAAGCTTTAAAAGCTAGTCTTATAAAAGAGGAAGGGTTGAAAGCCTCTCAAGGGGCTGATAATAATACTACTGATCCTATGGTCATTGATACCGGCAATAATCAACCATCACCAGAAGTGGCTGTTGCAAAAAATGGAGGATACAGAGATGTATTTGTTGATGGATTTGTCCCTCCTTCAACCAGTGTTGCCCCAATGTTCCCCTGTTATGAGAATGCATCAGAATGGGATGATTTTGGTGAAGTCATAAATCCAGATGATTATGTAATTAAGGAGGAAGACATGGATCAGACAACAAACAATTTAGGTGGTGATATAAATGGAAAAATGGATGAAGGTGCTGCCGAAGCTGCTTCTAGCTTTCAAGGTGTTGTTTCCACTCAAGCCATTCAACAACCTGTTGTTCCCATTGAGTCCATAGGACTTCCTGATGGAGGTGTCCCACCCCAATCCATGCCTCCGGCTGTCGTCACGCCACAATCTCAACTGCAGCCTGCTCAACCTCAATTTTCTAGCCAGCCTCTTGACTTTAGTGTACTTGGAGTACCAAATTCTGCTGATTCAGGGAAGCTTCCACAAACTGGCACTGCGCCAGTTTTCGTGCATCCTGGACAGGTTCCCCGTGGGGCTCCTGCTGCTGTATGTTTCAAGACTGGACTTGCCCACTTGGAACTAAACCATCTTTCAGATGCGTTGTCTTACTTTGATGAATCTTTTCTTGCACTGGTTAAGGAACAATCTCGTGGAAGTGATATTAAAGCTCAGGCGACAATTTGTGCTCAATACAAAATAGCAGTCACTCTTCTTCGGAAATAGGACGTCTGCAAAGAGTCCATGGCCCAAGTGTAATCAGTGCAAAAGATGAGATGGCAAGACTTTCACGTCATCTTGGATCACTGCCTCTTCTTGCTAAACACAGAATAAATTGCATCCGAACTGCCATCAAAAGGAAAAGAGGTTTCCGTTTCGTTTAACCTAGGTAGCTTTCGGAGGACAAGCAGGAAACTGAGTTGAAAGATTGTCAAATTCTATCTGCAACGCAATACATCTCTATAGAGTATAAACTGTTTGTTGAATTGTATTCAAAGTCTGCAATTATACTTGGCTGTCAATTTTGATAGAATAATGGCTTTTACTGGTTCCTTGCAACTGTCCCATGGATTGGGCCTTTGCAGGAACATGAATCTGTGCTCCAATAAAGATATGAGGGTAACGGGAAGATGCAGCTACATTCACAAAAATTGTCAATAAGTGGAATACAGCTTTAATAGGTCTCATGACTTGCTTCTCTGGAGGTAGAAGTTGTCTTCTTCAAAACTTGCCTCTGAAGATATTGCAAGGGACATATTTTCTGTCGGTTGTTTCTTGGCAGAACTTCATCTTTGCAGGCCACTCTTTGATTCTGTCTCATTGGAAATATACTTGCCTGGATGGTGTAGGACGAAGCACTGCTTCGCGCAGGTCTGGTGGAGCTAAGGTCTTTGAAGCTGATGGAGAGCCTCTAGTTGAGACTGAAGCATTGCACGGCATGATTCGGTTGTTTCGCTTAGTTCATCCATTGTATAAAACTCAATTGCAGAGGCTTCTTTTGAATCTTTGTGCTCATAGTGAAACTAGAACTTCTTTGGTGAAAATTCTGATGGATTTGCTAATCCTTGATGCAAGAAAGCCTTAGTAGACAGAAAACAGTAATCTCTGTTGACAGGAGAAAATATTGACAGTCCAGCGAGGCAAGCCAAGATGATTTCAGATGAAGAGGATCAAAGTGATACTTGCATACAGCAGGAATCCAATAATATTGAACATGGTGGAAGTCTGGTTGACTCTGCAATGGATACGGGTAATAGAAACAGCTTTATATTAGGAAGCTGCTTTCGTTCTACAGTGAACCAAACCAGTGTACCTGAAACTGCCGATCATACCGAGTATCATGATACCAACATTGACAGCCCAATAGAAAATGGAAACTCAGAAGGAAGTGATGATCTTTCCAAGAATTCCACTCTAGAAAATATGCCAAGCCCAAAGCTTTCTCCCGATGGTGTCGTAGAGATATAAGGTCAACAACTTTTTTGGAAAGCAAGGCGAAAAATTTCCAATCAACAGCGAATGTATGCGGTCCAAGTGTTTGAATTGCACAGACTGATAAAGGTTCAACATCTGATTGCTGAATCATCAAATCTTTTGCCTGATGCTGTTGCTATTTTGGGAAAATCTCCTCTGCAGGGGTCAAGTCTAAAAGCTAGAATTAATACCAAATTGTCAGTTTATAAGGCTGCAGTTTCAATGAAAATCAAGAGCCTCTCGGCACTGGATTCTGATTCAAGATCTGTCAAGAGATTGGTTTATGAGGCAGTTGCGATATTGATAGATGCAGCTGAGGCGTGCTTGCTGTCTGGATGGAGGAAGTTGAAAACATGTGAAGAGCTCTTCGGTTCCTTGCTTCTTGGGGTGGCACAAATTGCTATTGCTCGAGGAGGTCAACCATTGCGGATTTTGCTCATTCGCCTAAAACCAATTGTTCTCAACGTTTGTGCTCAGCCTGAAACATGGAGTAACAACCAGGGGACCATGTTCGACAGTGTCACCAAAGCCAGTTGTCAGATTATTGAATCTTGTTGGACTAAGGAGCGAGCCCCTGTAGACACATACATCAGGGGGTTAGCTACAAGTATACGCGAGCGAAATGATTACGGAGAGCAGGACAACCAAGACAACAGCAGACAGAGCTAGTACATTTGAAGACATTGTAGATGCTTATCTAGCATATTTGCAGATTTCTGTCGTGAATCCTGCATTGGATGGAGCGTTGGAGATCTTGCAAAAATTTGCAATTGATGTGCGCAATGGAAAGGTTTCTGATGACAGATTGCGTTTTGGTGCACCTTGGAGGCATCCACCAAAGGTTGATGACCCTAAGTTGCGCATGGAATGGGCAAAGCTTCAATTGATGGATTTTGTTAAATCTCTGGTCAATGCAGACTTTGGGGTCAATTATCGAATTAAATACAGTGAAGAAATATTTGATGATCCTTCTGCTGTTGCATTACTGCAGGTGGGGTTGCTTTATGCTCAACGGGATCCACCCTTCTTTCGTCCCATATCTAGAGGAATTCAGAGGTGTTTAGTAAGATGGCTTGTCCAGCAGCGGATGCAGCTCAGGTTCCCCCAGTTGATTCAATTTTATTGGCACAGAATAATACGGGGACGTTATTATCGCCATTTGATGGTACAAGTAGACAATAAGTACTAGCAGAGCACCAGAATGAGGGATGTAATTCTGGAATTGATGTCATCTCTGGTTCTGTTGGAGACATATCTTATGGGGGAAGGTTTGGTGGCTTGCCAGAGAAATCACAACGCTCCCGCAGTATGTCTGTTAGTCCTGATCGGGCTCGTGTGCGAAGAAGATCTCCGGCCTTCAGTGCCTTGGCAGCTACTTTCGAGACCTCAAATGTTAGAAACCTTTCAACTCCACCTCCTGTAATTAGAAAGCTGTATCCAAAATCTACGACACCAGATTCTGCAATACTTGCATCAAAATCTAAAGCCATAGCTGCAGCCACTACCAATACACAACCGGCTTTTGGATGTTTTAGTCCCGTCTTCGCATTTGGTTCAACTTTTGTTAACGGTGATCAAATGAGCATGAGAAACCAGGATCTGAGATCATTGAGGATGTATCTTGGTGCTATGACAACTTTGTCAATAACAGGGCATTGAAATCAGTTGATAATGTTCAACAGCAGCTAGCGCGTATCACGGCTCGGTTTAACCCGAAATTATGCATCACTAACTTTAATAGTCGTGATTATTACGGCAACATTAGAAAGGCAACGGCGTGAACGCTTAGCAGCAGAGAAAGTATGCAGCATCTGTCGACAAAACATGATTCCTTCTGTTTTTCCGAAGCTTGCGGTGTCTCAGCAGATGTGAGATGCTAAGAATATGATGTGCGCAGCAGATCCACGCCATGGTCGTTATTTGACTGCTTCAGCAATGTTCCACGGTAAGATGAGCATTAAGGAGGTAGATGAAGCAGAGCGAAAACGGCTCGAAATTGAGGTTGAGCTGAGAAAACAATTTGTCACTTATCCAAGCCATATTGCAAGCCATGTGAATATAATATCAGCTGACCCCACAAGCTATCCATGTCACTTAAATGAGCTACAAAGAGAAAAATTGCAAAACGACATGTCAAATACCAGCAAAAAATATCACGCACAACACACCTACTTCAAAACGGCAGAAAATTCTCACAAACTGCAAATCATTTTTCACTCATTCTCATCTATAAATAGAATTCATCCCTCACTCTATTCTTCAAGCTTTTCAAGCCAAAAAATCTCTGCTGATTTTCTTCCTCAATTCCTCACTACCAGAAAAACTTTCGTTCATTCTCTTCTCATACTTCATTCCACCAAATTAACTTCAAATCAACCTCAAACACAGATCAATTTCGAACCAGAATTCGTTCAGAAGAAGAAGAGAAGCAAGAAGAAGCTTGGATTGATTTCTTACCTGAGTTTGAAGGTAGATTGAGCTTCACCGTCATTTTCGATCCGTTATCTTTTGTTGTGATTCTCTGAATTGTTGGTACCATTGTGAAGAGCTCTTGATTTCGATTGCAACCGTGTTAATTTTGCATCCCGCCGTTGTGATTTAAGCTAGCATCCATGGCCGTGAATGTTTTCGCGTGTGAGAGCTAGAAGAAGAAGATAATCTGTTTCGTTTTCTCTTTCTGTTTTTTAATATTACTTTTCTTTTATTTGTTTATTTTTATTTTCTTTTTTTTTTTCATTTCTTAACTATGTGGATTTTTCCACATTTTTCTTTTATTATTACATTTGTATTTTAATTTCATTTTTGAAAAAGCTTTTAAAAAAATTATTTAAAA